AGTTTGAACTGATTCTGAAAAAATTTAAAGTTACTCCAAAATCAGACCAAATACCCAGATGTCACTATAATTATATGCATGAATAGCTAATATTAATTACACAGTGGCTATTTTTATGGGCCCGTAATCCCACTGTGGGTGGCTATTTTTACGGTAGGATGATTTACTCATTTTAAAACCTAGGAAACTGTCTAAAGTTAAAAAAAACTAAACCCTAAACCAACCTTGGGGACTCCTAACATAAATTGGGAACTCATAAAATGACTGGGGATGCTCTAAAAAAACTGCCACCCTAACCCCTAAACCCTAAAAACAATAGCTAAGTAGGGGACTCCTAACATAAGTAGAGAACATAGCAAAGTAGAAAAGATAAAAAATATTTTTTAAAAGTCAGAAATAAAAAAAGAGAAGTGGCTTGAGCTGGATTCAAACCAGTACCCCGTCCACATCCTACCCGGATCCTTCCCCACAGTGTCACCACGATCCTGCTGCCTCAAACACGCTGATTGTCATCTTTATACGTCATTTCTATTATTATACTTCATTTCTATTCCCTGCTGTAAAAATAGCCGTATACAACGAGATTATGGGTCCGTAAAAATAGCCACTATTGAACAATTATAATGCATCATTTCTTCTCAGCTACCATGTTTTATATATTCTTGTGATGGTTCCCTCAATATCAGTTCATAGGGTAATACTTGTAGTCTCTGGCGGGTCTCACTGTCCTTTATCTCACTAATAACGTCTCTGATAGTATATACAGTCTGGGACCAGTCCTGTAAAGCCGCTCCCTTAATAAATGGACCAGAATCAACTACCAAACAGTTCACTCTGCTTTTGTTCATGTCACGTCATGCAATGCAATGAAATGATGATGATATGAATATGGTGATGGGCGTGGCATAACGTTAATTATTAATTAATAATTATTTTAATGCTAATTTATTAATGATGGATACTGCCAAGAAATTGTTGTCGAAATTAAAACAAGTACTGTCACAAAGCCCTGATCGCCCTGGTGAAGGACCTGATGGCTCTGCTGGTGTAGGACCTGATGGCTCTGCTGGTGAAGGACCTGATGGCTCTACTGGTGTAGGACGTGATGGCTCTGCTGGTGAAGGACGTGATGGCTCTACTGGTGTAGGACGTGATGGCTCTGCTGGTGAAGGACGTGATGGCTCTGCTGGTGAAGGACCTGATGGCTCTACTGGTGAAGGACCTAATGGCTCTACTGGTGAAGGACCTGATGGCTCTACTGGTGAAGGACCTAATGGCTCTACTGGTGAAGGACCTGATGGCTCTACTGGTGAAGGACCTAATGGCTCTACTGGTGAAGGACCTCATGGCTCTGGTGAAGGACCTCATGGCTCTACTGGTGAAGGACCTAACAGCTCTACTGGTGTAGGACCTGATGGCTCTACTGGTGAAGGACCTAATGGCTCTACTGGTGTAGGACCTCATGGCTCTACTGGTGAAAGACCTAATGGCTCTACTGGTGAAGGACCTGATGGCTCTACTGGTGAAGGACCTAATGGCTCTACTGGTGAAGGACCTGATGGCTCTACTGGTGAAGGACCTAATGGCTCTACTGGTGAAGGACCTCATGGCTCTGGTGAAGGACCTCATGGTTCTACTGGTGAAGGACCTCATGGTTCTACTGGTGAAGGACCTCATGGTTCTACTGGTGAAGTACCTAATGGCTCTACTGGTGAAGGACCTCATAGCTCTACTGGTGAAGGACCTAATGGTTCTACTGGTGAAGGACCTCATGGTTCTACTGGTGAAGGACCTAATGGCTCTACTGGTGAAGGACCTGA